TTGGTTTTCAGGTCAGGGGCAGGTCACCACAGGTCACGGAAATCTTATATCATGCATCGGTTACGTGACGTGTGTTTTATGGTCCATTTAGTCCATCGATTTCGAATTCGATGTCGTTTATGTCATTCGAGGTCATTTTGAGCTGAATTTAGCTTAGGTCAGGCCACTTTCAGGTAAAAAAGGTCAAATTTTAAAGTTGTTTTAAAAATAATGTGTCTATCGGATGCAGTTTAAGCTCAGAAACATGATGGTGCTATTTATATTGGTGTACGATGTTAAATACGTACTGCAAACATTGATTTGAAAATTTACAATTATGAGTTCTTTTCTGTAATGCGCATAACTTAACCATTTTTGAAGATATCTGGATAAAGCATGAAAGCACACAACGTGCCATTTCGACCGATTCACGACAATTTATCTTTATTTTTACCAGTCTCCAACTTGACTAAAACTTGCTAGAGTAAGTCGTAATCAAGTGTTCTATCACATGTAGGTATTCCGGGTTTTTCGAAAAGTCAAAAACTTTTTGAAGAAAAATATAAAAATATAAATTTTGAAATTTATACCTAAATACAGTTTTCAAAATTTTCAAAAATTTTGAAAATCCGAGATAGCAGTTTGATAGCGCAGTCTAGCCCGCGCCCTGCTGGGGGTCCTGGATTTCCACGCCCTGCTGGGGGGGGGGGGGTGTTTGAACACCCCCCCCTTGTAACTCGGCTCCTGGGCCACGTAGCGATACGCAGAAGGCGGCGTTCGAAAGAGCGTCAAAAATAATGACGAAATCACTTCGGTCAATTTTTTGGTCAGGTCAAAGGTCAGGTCACCAGAGGTCATTGAAGGCAAAATTTCGCCGATTTCCAGGTCGAATGTCGAAAACTTCCAAGAAGCCAACGCATAACTCGGGAACCAATAGAGCTACAGCGCCGCGGAAAAGCGCATTCGATAGCCCTATTAACGCCCTTTCTGAGTAATTCTCTCAGATTTGACCTAACGTCAACGGTTTTGCCTGCAAGGGGCAAAAACTGCAAAAATAGCCGATTTCTTCGAAAACAGTTTTTCTGCAATAACTTATGACCCAAGCCTTGTACGAGCTTACTTTTACCGGCATCGTGTTCCTCTCGTCAAGACGCATCGAATGAACTATAACTTGACCTTGAAAGGTCAACTTGAAAATTTGACCTCAGGTCAAGGTCATGACCTGACCGGAAAGGGTCATGTTGCATATGAGTCGATCCGTATCGTCAAGCTGAACACATCTAAGGCGTTTTCATCGCTCTAGCATGCCTCTATCAAAAGTTATTTGCGAAAAACTGTTAGATACCATTCGTGACCTAAGATGACCTCAGGGCATAAACAAGGGTCACGGACACCATTTTCAAGTTCAGTGTGTCTAAACCACTTGTAATTCGGTGTTTGGGAGTGTTTATAATGTCTTTCATCCAAAAGAGGCGCATTTCAATTTTCTCCCATTGACTTATAATGGGGAGGTCGCAAAATTGACCTGACCTTAGGTCATCGATATCAAAATTCTGAGATATACATTTTGTACATGCTATTGCTCTCAGCAATCGCTGAAAGTTTCAAAGCGATCGGTCACTCGGTGTAGCTATGACAGACATTGAAAGTTTTTATGAGGTGATGTCACTTCAAGTGACCTGGTGACCTGACCTTGAATGACCTTGGGCTGAAATTTTCACAACATGTGTAGAATTGATGTATGATAAGGTGTACCAAAAACGGCGGCGCTCCGCGCCGCTGTTTTTGAGATATTCGCGAAAAACCACAAGGGGGGGTGTTCAAACACCCCCCCCCCCCCCAGCAGGGCGCGGGCTAGTCTAAGTCTTCTCGTGCAAAGAAATTCATGGATCTAGCTTAAAAACTTAGCTCTGGGGAGCGATTGCCGTGGTTCAATGTTTTGCGTCGAACTCGAAAGCGGCCAAACATGACGTCACTCTGACGTCATTTCCGGCCGACCTATGGTAGCTACGAAATCATATTTTGACGCAAGGTGTCGAATTGATCCAGTTGATGGCACTGAAAGTTTGGCGTCGGTACGTCAAGTGGTTTGAAAGTTATTGCAGAAAAACGGGAGAGGGGCTATGAATAGCCCCCCCCCCCCCAGTGGGGCGCTAGTTATATACGGCGTTAGGCGGCACGGGTGGACATCGATAGCAGCGCCTCTATCGGTCACTAGGGAAAGCTGGGCTGTAGGCGACGAAATACCGGCTGAGTTGTCACACGTTGAATAGGTTTATAGACATCCGTCCTGTGAAAAGGTTGAACTTTTGCCTTCCGTTAAGCGGCACGGGCGGACATCGATAGCAGCGCCTCTATCGGTCACTAGGGAAAGCTGGGCTGTAGGCGACGAAATACCGGCGGAGTTGTCACACGTTGAATAGGTTTATAGACATCCGTCTTGTGAAAAAGTTGAACTTTTGCCTTCAATATTTCTACAGACAATTTTAGAAGTGTCTTCACATAGATTACAACACCGTTTAGATTATTGTATTCACTTCAAGCCTTCCCTATTGTTCTTGATGATGCAGGAACTATTTCTAATAAGTGTTTCTAGCTTAATAAAAAAACATATTGTGCAAACGATGAAAAAAGCATAGATGGAAGATTTTAAATGCAATTTTCTCTAGCAATTAATGGTAAATTCTCTACAGATCAAGGAAAAGGTGCATGCTAACTGATAATTTAAAGTTCTTGGGGCCAGTTGTTTTCTTCTTTTCTTACGTCGCCCCAATAGCCGCGAATACACTTGTGATAACGCCTATCGCAATATTTCTACAGGCAGTTTTAGAAGTGTCTTCACATAGATTACAAAACCGTTTAGGTTATTGTATTCACTTCAAGCCTTCCCTATTGTTCTTGGCGATGATGCGGGAACTATTTCTAATTAGTGTTTCTAGCTTAGTAAAAGAACATATTGTGCAAGCGATGAAAAAAGCATAAATGGACGATTTTAAATGCAATTTTCTCTAACAATGAATGGTAAATTATCTACATATCAAGGAAAAGGTGCATGCTAACTGATAATTTAAAGTTCTTGGGTTGGGGCCAGTTGTTTTCTTCTTTTCTTACGTCGCCTCAATGGCCGCGAATACACTTGTGATAACGCCTATCGGAAAACCGAGAGGGTCCGTTCGACCCGCCCCCCTTCCCCATACAGGTGAGGGCTACAAAGATATTGGCGAAACAAGGGAGAGGGCACATACTGTCGTACCCCTCCCCAGCGGAGCACGTGTGAAGTCATCGTCTGTTTCCAAAGAAATGTTGGAACCGTTATGCGGCCCTGTTGGCGCGATCGGTTAACCCGCGCATGACTGGGGGGGGGGGGGGCTCTATAGAGTCCCCTTCCGCTTTTCGACAATATCTTCTGAACCATTTGACGGATCAACACGAAACTTGCGGTGTCCTGAGCGGCATTAATTCGACACCTTGTGTAAAAATTTCAACTTTCTAGCTACCATAGTTTGGCCGGAAATGACATCAGAGTGACGTCATGTCGGCCGATTTTGATGCAAAATATTGAATTCCGGCAAACACTCTCAAGAGCTCAATTTCAAAGCTACATAGTACCAGGTAGTACATAGATCCAATTTCTTTGCATCAGTGGACTACAAATACACGTAGCTATCAAACCGATGTCTCGAATTTTCGAAATTATTAAATTTTGAACAAAAAAAAGTTTTTACAATTACAAAACATTTTTTTGATTTTTTCATTCTGTTTTTGATTTTTTGCAAAAACCGGAATATATGTGATAGAACACACACTGATGAACTATTCTAGCAGTTTTAGCCCCATATCTTAAAAACAGCCAAGTTATTAGCATTATTGTCAAAATTTTACAATTATATATTTTTCAAAATCATTTTTCAGTACGTTTTTGACATCGTAGAGCAATATACATGGCTCCATCGTGTTTCTGAGCTCAAACTGCATTTGATACGACCATTTTTTGTTGAAAAATTTCATTTTCAAAATTTGACCTTTTTTGACTTGAAAATGACCTTAAATGACACGGACGACATTATTTTCGAAAGCTATGAGTAAAATGGACCATACAACATGCGTCACGTCACATGATTACAATTTTCGTGACCTAGGATGACCTTGCCCTGACCTGAAAAATTTGAAGTACCTAAGAGTTTGGTACCCTCAGGGTATCTAATTTCAAGGAGTGCGCAAACCAAAAATGAACCTGATCGGACTTGTCAGCCGGCGGTCAGAGCCTAAATAGTTAAAAATGCCGATAATTTTTCCTTTGACCTGACCTGTGACGTCATCGGTGACCTTGAGTTCAGTAAAAATAGGTTTCGCTCGACAATTTTTCCAGGGCTATCAGACGCCGTTGGAATTTTGACGATCGGCCCTACAGTTTCAGAGATAGGGGGGGGGGGGCACTTGACTCAAGGAATTGAATGGATATTCCTCTTCGGAAGAAAAATGATTAATTATATTAAAAAAGATACCGTTAACGTTTGACACGCTGTGGTGGCATTGTTTTGAGTGGCATTATGGAAATATAAGAATATAAGAGAATAAGCCTATACCTACTCTCAAATAAACCGAAAGATAAAAAGTCAAAAAACGAAGCACAGTATTGGCAGCTTTCGGCTGATAACCGCTTATTTGTTATCTACGCCTATGTATTATGTATTATCATACGCTTATGCATGTATCTAGTCTACACTGTGGTTTAGTCTAATTCCAGAGAATTCGCTCCAAGATCATTCTGCGTGTAATACGTTCATTGTGATGCTGGGCTATCAATTTACCGTGGTCTGCGAGTGCGTTCTCTGATTGGTAACTGGAGTCAGAAACAGCGTTATGTAGTTCACAACCTAAGCTGCGGTTAAGCCCTATTCACGGTCTCCGGCGCATTTGCCGTCGTCTCCGATTTGCCGTTGGAAAAAAAATCGTCAAAGAAAATTTTGCAATCCTCAGCCCCGTTTACTCTGGCTGCAACCTCATACAAACAATGCCTGTTCATGTAACAATCAATATATTTGGTGAGTATAGATGCAGATAAACATATATATGAGATACAGAAATATGGTGAGGCACGAGTATGAACCGTCGCCGGTCGTCAGAAACCGCCTCTGATCCTCAAAAACGCAGTTTACGCCTTGTCGGCCGCCTTCTCCGCCGGCTCGGCGGCCGAGCCCTCAGCCTTGATGTCCGTATCGGAGTTCCGTCCGAAACCGTACGGGCCGTATCCGTACGGACGGTAGCCGAAACCGCCCGGACGGAATCCGCCGAAGCCAATGCCGTGTCCGTATCCAATTCCGTGTCCGTAGCCGATTCCGTGGCCGAATCCGAGTCCGTGACCGACTCCGTAGCCAATGTGGGGTCGGCCGTACCCGAAACCGCCGAAAGTGCGCTGCTTGAAGGCGACAGCCGCCGCCACGCAGAGGAGGAGAACGAGCAGGACTCTCATGGTGAGGGGTATCGGTACCTGAGGACGACAGCATTCCGTCAACACTTTGCGACACTGCGTTATTGGAGTTAACCCGGCAGTTGCTGGGGTATTTCGCCACCCACCGTTTGCTGGGGGGGGGGGGGCGTTAAACGCCCCCAGCCGATAACTCAAGAACCAATAGGCGCAGCGAAACGCACGAGGCGGCAAACGAAAGAGCGCGACGAGACGCTTCAGATGAGTACTTTAAAGTTGAATTTTGAGGTCACAGGTCGGGTCAAGGTCAGGTCAAACACCTGAAATCGGGCTTTCAGTAGCATGGACTTCAGGACTTCGCAATGGGCGCCTCTCGCCATAAACTCTGTCAAAACGGTGCACAATCCATCTTATAAGGCATACAAGAGTGTCAGCTCGATGTAGGGGTCAGTCAAGCATAGGTCAGGGTCAAGGTCAGGTCAACCGGGTAGGCACATATCCCCGAAAATCAAAACTGATATTCGCAGCCTGTGACACATGTTTTATAGGTAATTTGGGGCGTAGAACACGATGGTGACATTCATTTTATCATATGTGTACGTGTTTGGCTCAAAAAGTTCAATTTAAGAAATTCATGTATCATGGTCGTGAAGTAGTCACGAAAAATTGCCAAGATTCAGTTCAAGATTATGGAAAATGCGGAACGATAATCAATAATCGAAGATAGCCATTTGATTGACCATGGTATTGGCAGTATAATGGCGTTTACGGCATGTCTGTATGTCTATTCTGTGATTTTATATGATTTCTTGAACATATGCTGTTTTTGGTCGAAAACTCAGAAATCATGACGTCACTAAAACCTTGATATCTCAAAAATTTTCTGACCGATTTTTTTGAAACTTTGTCACAACAAACTTCAATCCATTCCCACAGGTACGCTAAATTTGGCGCACCTGCGGCGCGCCGTTTTTATGCTATGGCCCGGCGAAAAAAGTGGGGGCGTTTAACGCCCCCCCCCCCCAGCAACTCGCGGGTTAAAATGTCAGAGCAAATTGATCCGTTAGCCTTGTCACCGATCTTTATGATACAGAAACAAGGAACAATGCAAGACTTTGTTCGGGCTTTCTCCTTTATACATTGTATACAGTTTTGGTCCAACTGCTTTGAAAGTACATGTGTGCGTTCAGTTTGCTTACCTGTTACTACTCGAGGCTGTGTGAACTGATGCTTCGATCCAGGGCTGCCGTTTTTATATACCAGAAGCTTGTATGGAAGCTTCACATGACCAGCTTTACAGATAGTCCTGACTATGCAATCTTCAGTTAACCCGGCGGCCGCTGGGCCTCCGCGCCACCCGCCGGCCGCTGGGGGGGGGCATAAAGTTGCCCCCCCTTTACTTCTGCGACGATATCGTCGCAACGCGAAGAGATAGAGAAGCGAAACTTTGCACACATCTTCCTGAATACCTAGCCGAGGTTGTGTCCAAATTTGGTGTCGATCCCATTTGAAATGACGTCACAGTGACGTCATAAGTGAAATTATAGATTTGCGACTCTCATATTCCTCACGATACATCACATATATGGAACCGAATATAAAGGGCCGATTATTGGTCAGAAACTAGATGGAAGTGTAGTAAGATGTTTTAGGATGACAGCAGGTGCTGTCTAGTTCATTTACAGTCGAGTTTCATGCTCAGCGTCATCAGAAACGGTCCATATCGGAAAACGACAAAACTTTATGACGTCACTGTGACGTCATCTTAGGTGCTACAACCACCAAACTTTCCTCAAACATTGCCTAGGTATTCATTTGAAGCTATGCTAAGTTTCACGTTCGTAGCTCATCAGGTTTCGGAGATATTTCACAAAACGTAAAGGGGGGGCAACTTTATGCCCCCCCCCAGCGGCTCGTGGGTTAATTGTATGCAACCACGCGACCCCAATTCATGGACAGGTCGCTAAGTTACAGTGTTTGGTGAAAATGAAAGCAGATGCGTTGCAGTCCCACTGTCCTGTGAAGAAAGAGAGCCGCCTTAGCTTCTTTTTCTAACCACACAATCCTGCGGTGAAGGATTTACTCTAATTCGTTGCGCATTTTCCTTTGGGAGAAAGTTGCACATGCTGGATGATGCGTATTTCAGCCAGAGCTTGCATTTTGCAACTTGGGTGTGATCCTTTTCATAGGTACTCTGAAGGGCTAGTTGGGCATAAAGAGTCCAAAAAAAGACGAAGCGCGCATAGCTGTTATCGCTAAAACAGATATTTATTAGCTTTGACATATATGTATAGAAGACCGGAATGGCCCGTCAAATCATCGTGTGAAAATCGTCCAATCTGTCGTCATGGGATAAAAAATAATATTAGGCAATGCGAGTGAAACTGACTCATTAGGAGTTGGAATGTCAACAGTTTAGTTATGCTACATAAAATTTATTTGCAATGACATTTAGCTTCAGTGCGCACACCTTTGGCCATGAGCTTAGTCCAGGCTAAAAACAGCCAAAGCCATACTAAATGAGACTAGTTATTCGGGGAAATATGAACCATAATGTCCAGGGCTGTGAGAGGATGCTGATGAACCCAAAAAAGTGGGGAGCGCAAAAAAAATGTTTTACCAATCGCAGCTTTCCTAGAACTACAATTCGAGGCGACACACCTTCCCTCCTTTCCTATGGACCAATCTAGTTACCACAAGACATAATCTGAAGCTAGAGCCGTTGCAGCACACGGGTCACGGGAGGTCAGACCAGGTTCCTTTGAGTTCACGGAAGCTCAATCGGCGGAGACGGTTGAGCAGGATTCGTTTAGTTGGATCAGCTACCGAAGTCGACCCGGCCCCGGCGGTGGCAGGTTTCCTGGAACCAGCCCCGGAGCTCAGGTTTGGTCAGTGGTAATTCAGGATACAGTCGAGAGTGAAACTGACTCATGCTACTGTTGTAACTGATATCGTGCGTGCAAGATGTCTTAGCTGCAAGACTTCTGGGTCGAATCTAACCTTGAGGTAATGACTGATGCTTGCGTGACGTCGTTGAGTTGTGATTCTGGTCGCTAAAGGCGCGTCTTCGGAAAATCAGGTCAGTCAGTGAGGAACGATAGAGGACTGGGTTATTATGAGACATTTTTTTGTTGGGCTCTTTCTTTCTAAACACTATGTATTTGAGAGTCATAGAATAATGCACAACCGTAGGTCTAGGACAGTGGAAGACAAGGAACAAAGGGCACTAGGAGACGATATACTCTCGGCTGATTTGACCACCAGCTCGTATTCCTCAGCGACTGACCCCGTCCCTTGAGACAAAGCCCCAAAGTGGTAAATTTATCAGATTAATTAACGCTCCTAACCAAACAGAATTTGCAAGGATATTTGTATATTTGGTATATTTGGTATTTGGTATACTTGTTTATTTGGTAAAATGATCCAGAAGACGTTGGAGCATGAATACTGTTGCTCAGGCTGCGGCTTCGATGCTTCTTTATCTGGGGCAGCCTTGCTCTTCCTTGTGATGAGAAGCAACAAATCACTTCGCGGTCCCCGTCAGGTCGGTTACTGTTTGTTGGTTTAGCGAACAATTACACATTTATTACATGTCTGTATAAAAGCAAACATCAATGTTCTTGAGAGAGATAACACACTAAATCACTAGCAAACTCGATGAAACACCATTTTGCAGCAGGCAACAGACATCAATTTTTTGCCCTTAGGCTGCTATTCATACGGCAAACGTTTCGATCGATTTTCCAGCTCTCTAGACAAATAAAATAGGCCAATTGTTTTCACGCTGGGTTTGAATAAAAAGTGTGGGGTTGTGTGTCACAACAATAACATCATAAGCGTCATAACATTTACTAAGACGACCGTAACAATTAACTAATACAAAACAAACAAGCTTGCACTACTCGCCAATACTCATGATTTGTTCACTTTCTCCTTTAGGTTGCCTTCATTGACTTCCGTTTCTGCTTCAATGTTCTTGTTGGCTTTCCTCCCGAGGATCAACTTCTCGAGAACATCTCCCAGTCTCCCAAGATGCTTTCCGTCGACCGAGTAAGCAGCATTCTTACGGCGTGGACGATACGTTACGTACGGAGCATACGGACGGTACGGCCTAAATCCACTGCTGAAAGTGCCGGATCCAAAGCCACTCACCAGAGATCCGTATCCTGGCCGATGCCCTCCCACAAAACCTCCACTCAGTCCGAACCCTCCAAAGGGAGGCCGGAACCCTGCACTGCCGAAGACGCCCCCGCCAAGTCCTCCAAAGGCACCTCCGAGGAAAGGTGTCGGTCTGAAACCTCCCACTGGAGGCCGAGGATTGCCTCCAAAGTGACCCGACAGGGGCCCAGGTGCTATGATGCCGATATCTCCTCCTGCGGTAAGGGCGTTCAGGTCGAGACCCCCGGGGCCGATCTGAGTCCCCACGCCAAGACTCCCGACCTGGGTCCCAGCACCGGGGCCCCCGGGGCTGACCTGGGTCCCAGCAACGGGGCCCCCGGAGCCGACCTGGGTCCCCACGCCGAGACCCCCGGGGCCGACCTGGGTCCCTACGTTGAGACCCACCGGGCCGACCTGGGTCCCCACGCCGAAGTTCCCGGGGCTGACCTGGGCCCCAGCACCGAAGTCCCCGGGGCCGACCTGGGTTCCCACGCCAAGTCCGACCGTCTCTCCGTTGACGGTGGCTGAGCTGCCGGCGAAACCCTGCGCCTGGCCGCTGCCGCTGCCACTAACACTTGACTGTGAGGTCAGAAAGGAGGTGGCACCAGGTCCGTGACTGCTGGAGACACTGGCCGAGAAACGGGACGGGTCTGCGGCACCTCCACTCGAGCTGGAGACAGTGCTAGAACTGGAGCTGGAGCTGAGTTGATGTGCAGCCTTTGAGGAATTTCTTGAGTTCATCCTGGAGGCGATCCTTGCGGGAAGCTTTGAGGCGTTTTTTGAGCTGATGCTGGAGCGAGTGATGGAGCCGATGCCGGACCGGATGTTGGTCTTCCTAGCAGCGACTCCTGGCTCTGCAGCAGCTGCCGCAGCGCAGATGAAGAGAATGATGATCTTCATCTTCGCTTCCGTCATGCCTGCAAATGTGGAGGCAAAAGGTAAACAAACGCCTTGGGGTGTCTAAATGTGATTGATTAAACACGAAAATGAGGACCTACGAACCTTGTTTCAGTGGTGCAATTATTCCCATTAAATGCTTTTTACATTGATCTACGGGTTTGATGCTGATCTGTGAGCCCTGGGATTATGGGACACTATTTGAATAATTTGAACGCGTCTATGACAACTAAGCGCAATAACTACGTGTTTATGCTTTATCCTAATTGGATCACTGACAGCACCATTTCATTATTTGCACCATTTCAGAGTAAGGCTCAAACCTACCTGTCGATGGATGTGTCTCAGAACTGATTTAGAAACTAGTGTCTTCTTAGTTTTATACGAATGACAACATTGATCCGCTTTCCCTTTATCTAGTTCGAACAAGTTCACACTACGTGCTTACTTTCCTGGAAGCCAAAATTAACTGCTATGATCATCGATAGTTTCAGTTGTTGGTCATTCGCTTACAATACGAGCGCGCTTTGCGAATGCAAAACCTGTTAGTGATGAAAACATAATGAGGGCTTGAACGCAAATGGCTCAGTGCGGCTGAGGCTAGTTCCGTAACGGTACGCGGGCATCGCTAGAAATTTGAACAGGAGGGCTTCCGGAGCACATGTGTAAGTGTTCTCTTTTTACTAGTTTAACAGCCTATCTATTGCAGCATCATGCAGTCTGGCTCTGCCCGGTGGGGAATCTTACACTATGTATACTTCTATGGTATGTATCTTGTTTTTACTGTATGCATCTGAAAGTATAATGAAGCTTGGCTAACCGTATTTGAGTCTTCTTCTGGGGCCCATGCGCCTAATTCGTATTTCGGCTCTTCACTTGCAACACAGTTTGCGCTTTTGGCTTAATTGGATTTGAGCATTACATTGCGCAGCCTCGCATGTTCATGATAAACCTGAATAGAACTGGAATGCCTGCACATTTCATGTTTCACATATTGTGCAATTTTGTCCGCATATTCAGACATAAACACCACTAAATCATAATCTCAGCTCGTCGTGTAACGCCTATAGTGCAGGTCACACCTGCGGGGATTGAGAGCTTAGCACCGGCCTGGCCCAGTGACGCAGCCAAGGCATTAGTCAGTGGTCAGCGTGGACTCGTTAACAAAGATAAGACGATT